CTCTTCAAAAAGAGAAAAATGAGAATTTGGAAGACAGTTCCAGGAACAGGTCTGACAGTTGATAATTTCTCTTGTAAACTCTAAATTGGTGAAATCTTTTATGACATTACTAGATTTCTTTGCAACCACAGAAGAATAATTTTATGACAAATTAAGCACATTTTAAAGCAGCAGAATGTCTACAGTTATACATAATCCCCATTTCTGTGCATTCTGATATGTTAACAATGACATTTATAACCAGAGAAATATTTCACAACCCTTTTTTATTGTGCTCATTTTTCAGCAAGTTTGGAAGCCAGATAAATCATGGAGCGGGTCAGTGTGATTTGGTTATCAGACTGATGCTGCAGACACACTGGAACACCACAGCACAAAGAAATGGGGGGTGTTTCCCATTCCAGGAGCTGGATTTAGTAGTACATGAAGCCAGTCCTAACATTTTCAAACTGCCTGGACAAGAAATAGCACCGTGTGTGTATTTCATGAAGTAGAATGTGGCTGTCAAGAGTTAATAACAGCTGGCAGTGTATTTAACTCACAAATCCAGGCACCTTCTCAATGCCCTCACCTCCTTGTTTCCCTGCATATCATGGACCTGTGATTCCTTCAGCAGGGTGAGAAACAGATTCCAGACACCACCAGCTACAAAGTAAGACATGTTTGTCATGCCAGCTGCCTCTGCTTTCTGGGCCTGTGTCAGCTCTGTGCTGACTCCAATAAACTCACAAAACGTGTTTTCTGCTGGAGGCACTGCACAGCTGACATAATAAAAGGTTCAATAAAAGGTTTTTCTTCAGTTTGAAATCCAGAGTTAATTAATATTTACACAGTGTACCTTCTACCCTCATCACAGATAGCCTAAAATCCAGACAGTCTGGATCCTGTGCAGAATTGCATATTATATAAGTGCTTGCAATCAAAATATCCTATTCCAGCCCAGCAGATGCTTTAATTGCCCCTCAGCAACAGACATAATAATTTCCTGGACTTTTACAAACTTACACTGAGATGCTTTCTCCCTTGACATCCCAGGTATATTTTCTGGAAGTGTGGCAAAACATTCAAATAAAAGGGTGCTCTGTTTTCTGTATTTTGCATCCAGGCAAGAGTTGCTCCCCAAAATTAGTTTACTCAGTTCCAACCCTGAGCAGCAGCAGGAGAGAACTCCCTGCCAGGGTCAGTCAGCTTTGCTGAGAGCACATCCCAAAGCAGTAGATGTGGAGCTGTGCACCCCAAACATTTGCAGATCCAGGCACTCTGATGTGGCTGGAAGGACTGAAATGCCTGAATGGTTGAAAAAACCTGCCAAAGTTACCCCCTTTTCTGCTTGGCTCCCACTGAAGGTGTAGAAATATCCTTGCAGCAAAGTTCAACCAGAGACAACACATTTACAAAGCACTGGATTAGGCTCTGTACACACCAAGAAAATAAAAATGGCCCATTGAAAGTGGAGCTTTAAAAGCTAATTTAATAGGTTATTTTTGTTCCTACCTTCCTCAAGAACATGAAGAATTTTATATAGAACTTGTTAGTTTAACTTTGGAGAATTCATGTGCACATTCACAGATAACATTACTTGACAGGTATTACACCAATTTCCTAAGCCATTCACATTATTCCTCTGCACAGCCCTCAGAAGGAATGAAATAAAGCAGGATTATTTCTTAGGGCTTAATACTGCTTAGTATCTCTTTTGACATGTCTGGGACATGTAAATCACTATAAATTTCCTTCCAAAGTTAAATGAGATATACTGTAATTAGGTAATGTGGAAATAGTAAAAATGTTCTGACATCAATTGCCAATTTATGAATAATAATGCAGGTTTTTTGTTGCTGACTATTATGAGAGATAGCTCTAAATAAGGAACCTATGAAATAGAAAACTTCTTTACCTGTGCAAATATTAAACTTTTCTGAGTGCACTTGTTCCAATATTTTATTCACAAAACCCCTTTTGTAATTGTCATTTGAATTAATATTCCTCAAAGATATTTACTTTGAATTTACACTCTTGCAATGGAGATGATAAGAAAAATGAGCAGCTACAAAATAAACTGTTCACTGCTGGCTCCTTGCTCATGGTTATAATGAAACTGCAGGTTTTTGTTACAGAACTGCAGAGGTTACTGTGCCTCAGAAAGAGACCTAGAGGGATCCTAAAGAGCTGTCTCTGAACTAAATCCATGAGACCACAAAAATGTTATCCAATCAGAAATACTAAATTTTTCTTAGGGAAGATTTGAATATGGCCAAACGTTTGGCCTTGCAGGGTTAAAGTACAGTGTTATTCCAGCAACTGAACATAAAAATCTGTGTGTCTAAAATCAAGGAAGAAAGTAGAGAGAATAAGATCACAGAATAAATGGGCTCTGCAACTGATCATAACTTGGGGTCTTGGTATCTTGGTTGACACCAATAAGTGATCACTGAACTTTAAGATCATTTTGGTGTTGCTGCTCTGTTTTCATCCTGACCCTACCTTAGCATTTAAAGGAAGCAATGGGGCTCCACTGAAAGTCATGAGAGCATTTATTTTCTGGAAAAATGATGACATTTTACTGCCCAGGTTTTTTATGACATCTAGGTTATATTGCTTCAGTGCTTGCTTTTTATAGCTTTCTCCTCTAGCAAGAACTTTCAGTATAAATGTGGAAGAAATGTTTATAAAGAATCACAAAGAGAGGAATCTGGAAGTGCAAAATCCTACTCTGACTTACTTTAATCATCATATCTCATCAGGGGAACGTGCATTGTGTACATATAACAAATCCTAGCCTCTCTTGTAAATCAACCTTTGGTGAAGCAAAAATTCATCAGCTTTCTGATGCTCAGTGTTTTATAAGCACCTCTTGGGTGTACTCTCAGGAAGGCCATCTTTTAACTGTTACAAGTTTGGTTTTGGTAACTGTACCACTGAAAAATAAAAGTACCACAAAGAGATTCACAAATACATGCATGCAGTCATTCCAAAATAAGAAGGTCAAAATACTTCACCAAAATGATTCATGTAAAGTTGTTTTATTACCTTTTTTTTACCAGTTTCTCTGACACAAAGGCCTATCAGCTGCTGAACATTACTGGGCAGCTTGGCTTCAGCCATTTTTTGAAAAAGCTGCCAGAAGCAACTTTCATGTCATTGTTCATTAACACTTTGATCACATTAACAAGGATTTGTTGGCAACTGCTGGTGCAGTAAAATGCATTTTAAATGCTTTGGGTGTAGAATCTGCTGTGCCTAACCAGGCTGGCATTGCCCGCTTTTGAAGTGTTGCATGATTTACCACTTAGCCCAGGCACTCTTGTTTGATTAAATCCCTCTTTCCTTGCTGCTGGGAAGCAGAACTGGCAGCAACAAAGCATCTTTAATATTCTGTGTAGCACACCTCTAGAGGTCTTTGAATACGTAAGTTCAAATTTCGGTTTAAAAGCTCCCTAAATTTGATTTTACTTGGCTGCAAATAGGCAACCTGAAAATGAGCAAGTAAAATATTACAGCTGATGCATAAAAAATTTAGATTTCCAGCTACCAATGCACTTCAGTCTAAAGTGAAGCTCAATTGTGAGTCACTGCAGCATTCCCACCTCGTCTCTGTAGAGCTGCCCGATTAATGAATCTGTCACAGGTAACCCAGGGGATACAGGATACAGCAGCTGGGGAGTGACATAAAGTCACTTTAAATAAAGCTCTGCACACCTGTCAGATAGTTAAAATCTTTGGAAAGTGCAAACAGTTCATGATGTGAAGGGCAAGTTGCTTAATAGGCCTAGGAAGAAGCCATTCCATTGTTTTCAGAAGGAATTAAATCTGAGTAACATGATTATTGACAATTAGCAGTTCCAGTGCTCCTGCTGGTTTGTCTGAGCCTTGATGGTGTCACCAGTATATGGAAGCACTTTGGACCAGACTGTTTAGGTGTTCACTGAACTGCATTCACTCCAACACATTCATGAAGATAGCTGTGCAAGCAGTGAGATTTTGGTCTTTTCCAAAGAGTAGGAGGAGAAAAAGAAAAGCTTTGGTCATTAAAATGACAGATTTCCCAAGCAGGCAGTTAGAACAATGAAAAACAAGGCACATTTTGTAACAACCCATATGCAAACAAAACATTTTGTCTCAAAAACTGGTGACTACTAAAACCAATGTGTGGACATTTTTTCCAGATTGGAGTCTGTGCTGCAAGGAGAGCAAAACCATCAGCCTTAAGGAACTTTGAGGTGGAGCAAGGTTGTTAGCAGGAACATACCAGTAAAATGCTGTTGAGGAGCTGAAGTCTGATCTCACATTTTCCCCACCTTATATTATCTCCAGGGTTTTGGCTAGTACAGATCTAGGCTACTGTATGTTTTTCCAGATTAGCATCCTCCTGAGAACTTGAATCACAGAATGGTTTGGGTTGGAAGGGACCTTAAAGATCATCTTGTTCCACTCCCCTGCCATGGGCAGGGACACCTTCCACTGTCCCAGGTTGCTCCAAGCCCTGTCCAACCTGGCCTTGGACACTTCCAGGGTTGGGGCAGCCACAGCTGCTCTGGGCACCCTGTGCCAGGGCCTGCCCACCCTCACAGGGAAAAAATTTTTTCTCAAATTTCATAAGTTTCTGGAAAATGTGGTGATTTTATTTTTCTGCTACAATTTCTCCCTTTCCTTATGATGTTTCCTGGTTGGTTTTCCTATGGTTTTTGTAATGATATTTGACAAGGACTTTATAAGGACTTACTTCTCTTGTTTGTCTTATTAAATAAATTTGAGATTTGGGGTTTGCTCTGAAGACTATTTTAATTTTAATTTTAAAAAAAATTTAAAATTAAAATTTTAAATTAACCAAAGTGAAACTTCAGTAGTTAGACACAGCAGAATTCAGAGATACTTGCCCAGACATCAGCTGGAAAACAAACATTGATTTTACTTCTTCAAGCATTTAAAATATTCACATTTTTCTAACCATTTTGGTTTGAAATGAAGAAGATGCAATAATTCAACCACTGTTCTCTTACCTCTGTCAACCTGAGCAGATAGTTTAGGGCTTGGTGAGGAGGGGAGCAGGCAGTTGTGTGACCCTGCAGTGACAATGCAGAAGCAATGTCAGACAGTTTCTTTGCCACAGCTTCTAACACACCTCGTGCCTGGCTGCAGAGCTCTCCCTTCCCCACTCTGACTTTGCTATGATGATGAAACACCACCACAACTTATCCAGCTGGATTTTTTTTTTGCTGGATTTCTTATCCAGGCTAAGATTTCTTTGCTGCCTACTCTACCAACACTGACAAGCTGGGATAGGAAAAAAGGCCATGTCTTGGATGGATATAATTTCTTCAAATGTCATTATGGTTTGTTTCCTTCTGCTGTAACCTTCTGGTGTGGTCACAGGTGAATTGACAACAGGGCAGAACTGGAACAAGTGACTTTTAAATCTTCTCAAACAGTCACAATTTCATAGAGCTCAGCCTGTAAGACAGACTGGGTGAGGAAGCAGAAGACTGTGGCTGCTTTATAAAAGAAAAAATAAAATATTTATGAGATCTTTTTTTCTTCACCATTCTTAGCATTATGGGAGGCTTAATCTGGATTTCTGACACCCTCACAATTTGGGATGTTCAGATAAGGAATCTCTATTCACTGTAGCAGGAACCCTCCATACTCTGCACTCAGGAAGCTCTTCCATGGCTTCAAGGTTAGAGCAAGCTTTACAGCTGATTTCTGAGGTGTGTTCTGATCCAGGGTGCACTGCAGAAGTACCATCACAAACCAGTTCAAGGGGATGCTGCTAATGTGATTAAGGCACAGTAAGTGGGTGGCTGTTACATTGATTTTTCTTCAACCATTTCAATTTCAAGGAACACATGAAAGAGAATGCTAATTTTGTTGTTGGTGCTGTTTGCTGTTATAGCTCTCTGTACTACATAAACTCAAAGGAATGAAAATGTGCTGTACACTTTTCTCATGCTCAACTCTTTCCAAATCCCAGAGGACATTTAAAAGAAGACTTCAAAAATTGCAGGAGGAGATCTGTTGTTTCTCAACTATTTCCTCATCTCATATGCTCAGAAACATAACCTGATGTGAATTTGCGATGCATTTCAATTTGGGAACTCTTACTCATCAGGAGTTATTGTGGCAGCCCAGTTTCTGCCTGTGCCTCCTCAGGAAGACTGATTTTTTTCCCATTGAAAATGGATTGCCTGGGATAAATACCTGACTTTTAGTCTGTAGGCAGGGAAGGTCAATAACAACCTTTATAGAATCTCTCCATAAAAGGTGACAATAAATAAGTCTTTAACCTCTAATCTATATTAACAGACTACCTTTATTTATTGTTTGAGTTGTGCAGAGACAAAGGTAATCCTAAAGGAGCAGTCACAATAGCAGGTAATGACCTTCTTTTACAAGAATGAGCAAAACCCATTTCACTTCAGCATCATGCACAGGGCTATTTTGCAAAGAAACACTGTGTGTTAGTTGTTGAAACTTTTTCATGCATTCCCCGAAACAAACTACACTATTCTGAATATTTTCTTCTCTGTGCAGTAAATAAAGTCTTTCATGTTGACAATGCTAATATTATATTTTAAACTATATTTGCATTTGTGTTTTTTGTCATTTTTTATTGCATTTTATAAATCCCAGAGCAAAGACCCACTAAGCTCACTCTGAGAAAGCCTCGTTTCTTGGGATAGCATCATGCAGTGACACAGGTGATCAGGTGGGATTTCAGTGAGGGTTACTGGCTGGATCTGTGGGACCTTATTTCAACCAGAACTGTGGATAGAAGCTTGGAGTACCAGGAAGATTAATTTTAATTAGTTTTTAAAAAGGAATGATTTCATATGAATGATTTGCAATGGTAAATATTCATAACGCAACATAATCTTAATATATTTCAGTCCAATTAGTGCATTAAGCTATTAGATAATTGTAGAAGAGATGGGAAGGGGGAGCCAGAAAATAATTTTATTAGTACTTGTAATTCTGGGATATAACAGGGCCACTATGGCATTTGAGGGTAGAATGAGAAATTACTAGTAAACATTAATTTTAAGTTATGCACATGTGTTCTATCTAATAAATATTTTCTAAGGTATGAAAAAATACATATAATTAAGTGGTTTTTACTTACTTTTACATTTCAGTAATGCACAAGACAAGTAGCTGGAAAATGCTCTTCAACATTAAATCACGTACCTGGAAATAAGAAGCTAATTTTTAGTTACAGGAAAATATCTGCTCACTATTTAATTTGTTCTTAAAATATGCCCTCTTGGTTTAAGAACACCTTAAAAGATAATTCAATTTTTTTTTTCGTCTCTCTTTTCACTAAATGAAAGAATCAATTTCTAGATGATTTTTAAAGATTTTTTTCCTTCCTCTTCCTACTTTATGAAGCCGTTTGTAACATCAAATGGCAAAAATCTCTCACATGAAGAAGCTGAGGTGGCAGGTGAAGGATTATTAGAGTTATAATTATGAGAGGGGTTTGTGAAAGCACTCAGTGTAACTGAATGTAAATTCTAGGGCAGTTTGCCTTGTCTTAGTGTAGGAAATATGAAAAGGAAGCCACAACAGTTCTGAGAATGCAAGATTTTAATTTTCTTTTCAGTTACTGAAGGAGTTTGAGACCAGTTCTGTAAATGTACAGAACGTGTTTTTTTGACTTATTCTGATTAATAAGAAATTGCAACAGAACTGCTCAGAACTGTGGGAAAGCTCAGTGGCAATTTTTGAAAAAAGGCCTTGGAAACATATTGGCCTTCTAAAATAGAAACATCCAAAGCTGCCAGTCTTATTTTCCTCCATTTTTGGCTTTGCAATCGAGGTTTGTGATTCTCCTGTTTTCATTATGTGCAGTATTGTGTGGATCCATTCTAATAAATTCCGTTACTTGGAACAATGAGATGGAGCATGATTCAAATCCTGAATTAAATGCAAATCTAGCAGCAGAAAAATGGATTTAGTGGTATGATAAGATTTGTAATACAAATATATTGCATTAAATATAAAGTTTAATTAAATAGAAGAATATTGTAAGGACTGCCTTTCAAACTAGCATTGTATCTGTGACTAAACGTGTGCAGTCTGAGAACAGTGTGGAAATTACATGCTGGTGCCTTTGGAAGCAACATATAATATATATTTTTGCTTAATTTTGGACAAATGGTCTGTGTCTGCAGAAGACATCTTTTCTTCAGGGTCATCAATGCTGGTTTTGATACCAAAAGTATTCAAAAATTTAACTTTGTGAATGAAATTGTGAAGTCTCTCCCAAACAGATTTACCGCAGGACCATTGCATTATTTCTTTGAACTTCAAAACAGAAGAAGAACAGATTTCAAATCATATCAGCAGCCAGATAAGTACAATCTTAATTGCAATATTGATATGGAACAACTTTAGAGCTTTATGGCTGTATAGTCCTTTGTACTAACGTGTGGATCAGAGTAACACACAAAGAAGTTGGGCTACAAACCCAGGACAATATTCCTACATTTCTGCTCAGGAATGAACCTTAGTTGCAAGGGAAGAAAAAATGATGTTGCTATTTTCCTATTCTTTTAATGGGGAAAGGGCTTTTTTTTGTTTTGTTTGCTTTTTGTGAGAAATACTACTTTGTACATACACAAGGGAATTCAAATAATGAATTGATGTTTAGAAACATGCAAGACCATTGCGATTTCTTTGCTTTGCAAGTAAATAAATGTCATAGGTACAGAAAATGTAGCCCTGAGGAAACAAGTGTCCCATTTTCATTATGCCAAACAACTTTCTTGACAAGGGGACAACATTTTCTGAACAACATTTTGGCAATAGAATGCTTTAAAAGGCATTTTATAAGGCTACACAATCCAAACTATTTACTTTTCTTAAGTGAAGTATTTGTAGCAACTAGGAAGTAAGGGAACAGGAGGGAAAAGTTTCTTCCTGTTGTTTCACTGATGGTGAGGGAAAGTGAGTGCAGGCACATTTGAGTTGCTGTGATTGCACACAAACAGCACCTGCCTCCATTTGCCACAGCCATATGAGAATTGGAGACAAAACTAGAATTGCTCAATGTTTTCAGAATCCAGAACAACAGGTCATGACTAAATACTGCCCTCCTCTAATTTAAACTTAAGGAGAGCCACATACTTGGATTGAAGTGTAAATTCAAATTTTTGAATTTAGCTTGTCTTCTAAGTAATTCTGGCAAATGTATTTTCTTTAATGACTCTTCTCAAGCAGAAATAGATACTGAAATTAAAAGTGACTCATGGAGTCCTAAGGAAGGCAAGATTCTGCTTATATTTTAAAATTAATTTGAAAATTTCTAAATATCAGTGACATTTTTGAAAGTGCTGAAGAGTTCTGCTGTGGGATATAAAAGTGACTATCTTGCTTTTAGCTCATCTGTCTTTCAAAGATATGTATCTGAAACTTTGGATAAATATGCAGACCCTAAGATAGACAAAATACTGATAACTGTCAAGGATTAGGCCATGCAAAACTAAACATGATTTTCTTTGAAGGTCATTCAAATTTTAATGTTGCAGGTATATAATATGACTCATTTCTTTATTTGAAATTAATTAAAATATTTAATATATTCAGCATACATCACCAGAAAAGTCATCTACTCTTTGGATAGATGGGGTTCTCTTGTCATACAAGAAATGTTAATAATATTGATCCTAAAAAGAAATAGTTTCAAAAATAAAACAATTGAAATTTGAAAATAAATGTGTTCAGGTTTCCACTTACATGCTGCAGTACTTCCTAATCACATAACAGTGTCACTCCTGCACACAACAAGCCATCAACTATTTTTATTTTACCCTAAGCCTTTACACAAAGTATTAATTTACTTTGCAGCATAATGGAACCAGTTCTGCTGTCAGCACAGAGAGCTGCTGTGCACTGCATCAGAAAGAGAGATGACAGAAATTCCAGCAGCAGCAGAATTTAAATGTCTCGCCTGTAATTTTGCTCAGTGGCATCTTTGTACATCTGACATGTGAAATATGTCTTTAGCTTTTGAGACAACAAATGACATTTGGTTTTGCTAAGAAGGCTTAGCAAAGGAAAGGCACATTCGAAATGTCATTTGTGTTACCACAGAGGTGTCATCTGAAAATGAGCCTAAATATCTTTGGAATATCTTATTACTTGGAAATTTTTCCAAAAATACCATTAAACAATTCAATTTTTTTCCTTCTAGAAATGCAGACAAGTGGACCTAGTTTTATGCATTTATTTCTCCACTATTTTTTACCCCAGCCCTCCCAATTCAGTTGTCTTGGAAAATGCCAAAACATGAACTGATTTCTGAGAAGACAATGAAGAGCACAGCAAAACCTGAGCACATTTCTATCCCATTTCATTACAGTATCTAGTGTATTTTGAACTTCCAAAAGTTAAACATCCTGTGGGCACATGAGAATAGGTTTAAATAGGTTTTATTTAAAAAGACCAGTTTTGCTGAATTAAAAACATAAACATAGTTGTTTGGAAAGACTAAAAGCCTTTTCCTTTTAGTCTTTCCAAACATTTTCATTTTTTCATTTATCAATGTGATAATAAGATTTCCTTAAAAACAGATGAACTTCAAATGTCCTTATCATTAGCATGCTGGTATTTTCCAGTATTTGTATTTGCTGGCAACCTTTTTGTCCTTCCAGGAGAGAGCACTTATACTTATTTACACAAAATAAAGCCAGCTTCTCTTTGTAAGTTCAATATTTTGGGCAAGCAGTAATATACCAGTCTTCTAGCCAGTCTTAGCAGGAAATAGTCCTAGTGCTGATCACAATGAGATGACTCGTGGTCTCAGCTCATTTTGAGAAGTTTAGTAAACATGTTATCTCTAGCACAGGGCTGATGTAATGTTTATAAGTTCAGTCTGTCCTTTTTGCCATTGTTGGTGATACTCTTGTTACCAAAACAGCCTAAAAGTCTTTTCTTCATCATAACCTTCTGAAGGTCACATAGAGATGATGTTTCATCATGATCTAATATTTGAAACACATTTTTAAAGAGAAATCTTCCATGCTGTCAAAACACCTCCCTGAATTTAAAACTTTAATTCTTATAATAAAACTTGAATAACTTGATACTGCAGACAGCTTTTAATTCATCACCTGATGTCTATGTAAGTAAAATCCATTTTGTCTAGATGATGAATAAGGTGGGTTATCTGTATGACTGAAAATGTTTACTTAACATTATGGTTAGATGAGCATCTATATTTGTTAACATAAGGATCAATACATGTCCCTCAGGACACTTGAGCTGACATAATCACAGAGGAAAAACTTTAAGTATAAAGTAGAAAGAAAGAGAAAAAACTCTGCAGCCTGGATAACCTGTTCTGTAGAGGTTCTGAAAAGGCAGCAGGTTTGTTAATACTCTTTTTACACTCAACATATTTTCCATTTCAAACTATCTTTAGAGTGTTTGAATTGTGACTATGATCACATCACACACACTTTTCTCCCTTTAATTTCTAGGCTTGTAGCCTATCAGTTTAAATGAACTCAGTGTAATCCTGGCACTCCAGGCTGCAGTGACTCCATCACCTCTGTGCTCATGTGTCACCATCTGGAACCTCACTAGAAATGCTGCCATGGAAAATCAACCCAGCTCCTCAATCCTGAGCCGTGTCAGGAGGTATCATTTAATTTGTGTTCCTTTAATCCTTCTGCACCTCAAGTAAGAAGTTATAACTGAATGTGCACATCAGGAAGATCTGATGGCTAAGGAAGTATAATTTTTAGTAATTTTTGGAATAAACCAACACTTTTAAATTTTGCAGCATTATACATGTATAGAATATTTATTATATGGAAACTCACTGCTGCTCTCATGCCTCAGTGGAGCAGGGATGAGTAAGAAGTCATAGGACAAGTTCTGTATTCAAGATCTCAGCAACTTCTTTAATTACCTCCATAGACAGAAACTTCTTTCCAAAACAAACTTCCTTGGATTGTGCAAATGTCTTTGGTTTTTTCCTACCTTTTGCCTGTGATTAAGGTCCTCAGGAATTTTCTTCAGTACTTCACTAGGAAGGTGCCCATGACACTTTAAGGGAGAGCATCCAACACCTTTTATTTGCTATGTACATCATCTTTTATCATTTTTGCCTCAGCTGCTTCAAAAGTTGGGGTTTCAGGTCTATGTGTAAACCAACAGAACTCAGCTCTGTGTGTGATATCTGAAAGGGCCTGAGCTGTGCCACTTCAGAAGTACTGAACATGCAGTAAGAGAATGAACCAAGTAAACAAAATAGTCCATTGCCAAGAAACAGAAAATGAGGTGATAAATTGTATAACTTACTATTATTAATTACACTTATCTAAGTATTACTCTACCAGCATAAAACATCTTATCTTAAACAAAGCCATAAAAACAGTTGCATAAGAAGTTTCAGTAATGCAATACTGGCTGCTTTCAAGCCTACAATGTCTATAGACATTTCTGCCAATTAGATCACCCAAATATGTGACAAGCCCAGATAATCTGCTAAAGTCACATTACATTTTCTTTTCAGTTGCATACATCGTTGCAGAAGTAGCACTGAAAATTGGAATTTTGCTTTCACAGAATCACTATATAACATTTCAGCAAAAAACATATTTGGCTCTATTAAAATCAACTCTCTTTTTGTTTACTCTTATCGGATTCTGTGACAGAAATAACAGGTTACTAGTAAATAATGCAACAATACTGCATATTATTTGTTTCCTATTCTGATAGGTTTCTCAAGTGTGAAAGAGATTTTAGATCTGCACTCTGGAGTACAAGGGTGAATATACAAGTTTTTGATTAAATCGTATTTTAGTGACAATTTTTTTTAATAATACTATTTTGCCTCCATATTATTCAGTCTCAGCTCAGGATAAAGAGTGTCCTGACAATGACCATGTGCCCACTCTGAACCAGCAGTAAGTGCTGCTCCTGAAGGTCATTTCCTGCTTCTTCACAGTTTGGTACCAATCTTGTTTAGCCTGAAATCACATAGTGCTGGAGTTCAGGGCTTCAAGCAAATTGAATGAACCGAGTCATTGAGCTGAATGTTTTGTGCAATTTCATCTTTTTAGAGTTTAAAAATAAGTGTAATAAGTAAAACAGCCCAGTTTGCAGATGCTGAGTTCACAGCTGCTGATTTTGTTTACTGATGCACAGTCCTACTCCACACAAAAATTTGAACTTTCCTGTCTTAAGACTGCAACACATTGGTTAAGGGAAACAAAGTACAGGGGAGGTTAGAACAGAAGAGCTGAAAATAAAATAAATAAACAAGATACTCTACAGCTCCTCCTAAATCTGTGCTTAGGCTCATGCCAGACATGTTTCACCAGGATATCAGCAGACATTGATATTCAGTGTGCATGAGCAATGTTCCCATTTAATGTTAATTTTTCAAGAAAGGAAAACCAGGAACTTCCTATGAACTTCTGAAAAAGTATAAAGCTCGTATGAAATGTGCCTGAATCTCAACACCTCAACAACAGCTTTTGCATGTGAACTTTTGCACTGAGCAAGTTTTCCCTCGGTGTCCACAGAAAATCTGAAAAGTGCTGTTTTACACTGCTCCAGAGGTTATAGAAAATGCCAGCAAGAGCACACTTGACTTACAAAGTCACACATCAACATGTCTGTGTATACATTGCCTCAAAGGAATCCCTGGAGAACTGAGCTGCCACTGAAATATAACATATAGAACAGGCATTTTAAAAAATGCCTCTTTTTTACCAGTTGTCATCATGTCCTTAGTTCTGAGAGTCCCCACATAAATTTTGCTTATTTATTCACGGAAAGGGCTGTGGGCTGTAGCAGACATGCAGACATGGCACTTGGGAACATGATTTAGTGGTGGCCTTGGCAGTGCTGGGTTAGTGGTTGGACTCAGTGATCTTGGAGGTATTTTCCAACATAAACTGTTCTATGATTCTTTTTATCTGTTACTCCCCTCTCTAGTAAACAGACCTTTAAAAAGGGAATATATGAGAGCAACATCACAGGAGAAATGAGCTCCAGCTGAACACAATTCTCTATTCAGTATTTATTTTACTATAACTATGCACCAATAACCTAAGGCACAAGGACACATGTTAATATTTTCAATTTGCAGGTCTCTAAGAAGGCTGGAATAACACAAGTGAAAAGATCCTTCCAACATAGTGAGCAAGAACTGAAAGGCAGGAAAGCTGCTGAAGAGTCACATGGCCTTGAGGAACAAGGCAAAGCTATTCTGCATTAGAGAAAGGAAAGAGGTTGAACTCTGTTAAGTTCTTGCCACAAAAAAAACACCAACAAAACATTTGTTAAAAACAACAGTGTCAGTAAAAAGGATCAATTTGCAAGAAGTTTATGCTTTTTGTTCCAGCAGACCTGCTTTTAAAAATATTTTAAAATACATTATTCCATACTTGAAATCAAACTTAGTCAAGCTCATGAGGTCTTTTTGTTTTGTTTTGTGTTTTTTTTGGGTTTCTCCCTTGCTAAATGCCTTACAAAGTATGATTACATACTTTACATAATTTACAGCTTACAAAGGCTGATCTACAGGAAACAAACATTTGATCACTTAAAAATAAATGTTCATCTTTCTATCAGACAATTGGTAAAAAACTTTTTCACAGTCAGTTATAAACAGTTTGTTTTTTTACTTGGATTTTTGCTTCTATTTAGTGGTGTTTATTCATTCTATGTGCCCATTTTTATAGAAGGAACAAAAGACTACTTGAAAATCTGTGTAAGGAAGTACAATATGGGGGGGGTGTCTGAAAATTTTGCATATAAAAAGACATGCCAAGGAGTATTTATATCTACTCTTGAAAAAAATAATGGGCTATTGCCTGTTTTTCAGGAATTTTAGAAGGTATCAGAAAAGGATATTGAATTCCTTTTTCTATGATATTAAGAATAAATATTTCTTCTATATTTAGTAACGCTACTCCCTGCAGTGGACATGGTTTTGAGGTTCATTAGCATTGCTCACTCCATGGGTATTTGCTCAGTGAAGTACAATTCCCAGTTTCTAGTCAAGGCAGGCAGACTGGAGATGACTTCAGGAGCCCCTGATTCCTGTTTGAGCAGCTGGAATGGAAAGTTCTCGTGCACAGGGAGCACTGACTGTGGCATTGCTATGGCAGGTGCCAGGCATTCCCACCTTGCTGCCAGCCAGGAGCTCTGCCAACCTCAGCACCCTGGGACAGAAGCTCCTCCAGCCACTGCCTCTGAAGCCTCAGCTGGGGCTTGAAAGGGACTCTTGAGGACAGGCAGAAAATATTCTAAAACTATATGAAAAAACAGAAACCCTTGCCTCTGGTCCAGGCAGTAGAAGCTCTGTTGAACTTTCTAGCATCAGAAATCACTCCCAGCACACCTCTGCTTCTGTATGATCCCCTTGGACTAGCACAGGCAGGGGGGAGCAGGAGGAGAGAGGACAGATGGCTAAAATGTCTTCTTGTATCCCATCAGTCCAAGCCTTACAGTGGCACACCACCACATGGGGCCTGAACCAGCTCCTTCTTCTTTTGTTCCAGTCTGTTTGTCTCTGATGAACACACTGTACTTTAAATTGATTCCCAGAACAATGAATAAAAAATGAGCAATTAGGCAACCCACTTCCCCCTAACCTTATTCCCACCATTGTCCATCTGGTCTCATGCTAAACAATTCATTTAAGAGGGGCTCTTGCTCACTGCCACTCCAGTAACTTTCCTTTTTAATGTCACCTCCCTCCCCAACTATCAGAGGCAATTTCTGCCAGTGTCTCCCTCCTCTGTGCTTATACTTTGCATGTCCTTCACAGCACTTGTTCTAACCACCTGCATTCCTATCTTGCCAACATAGACACATTTAGTTCTCTTAAAGCAAACATTTCAAATGAGACACTGCAGAAGGGAGAAATCACGAGGCAGCCAGAGCTCTGCAGTACAGACAGGTTGGATCAGTCACTGTGTACTCACCACTCTGGAGCAGCAGGACCATGACTGTGTCATGCAAGACAGCTGCTCAATACCAGAGCACTGGAAACAGGATTCTTCCTATTCTGCAAATTAGATCTCTGTTCAAATCTAAATAGAGCAATGTTTGTAAGAAAGTAACCCTATTTCTACTCCCAGCCATTGGTTCTTCTGCACATGATCCTCTAAACCTTTTGTGGAGTTAGGGTTGAGAAATTAAGTCATTTGCAATGGCCATTGCATGGCAAATTCCTTTTGGAATCCAAAACACGAAAATGACTTTGAAATGCTCATGTCTAAGCTGTTTATTTCCATAAGAAACAAATTTTCATTAAAATGTTATTCTCTTTTCAGTAACTACATAAAACCCCCCAAGCTGTTATGTACCCTCAAGAGGGCAGCATGGTATTTCAAAATTCACCTTACAAAGGGGATTATGCCTTAGCATAAAAGAAGGCTCTAATGAGAGCATGGAATTGGTGTGGCTGTAAACGTTAATTATAAAAAAATTAGGCAAAAAAGAAGGTAAGTCTGTGACAGGGCCATTTGCTCACCTGTCCATTGCTGCTGCTCATGTAGCACCACAGGGATCACAGAAGCAGCTGATGCAGGACTGCAGTTTCCATGCCAGTTCTTGCTTAACCAATACCAGCTGTGAGCAATCTATTCAAAATTGTGGTGGCATTGTGTATAGGGCAAAGAGCAGCCAAGCTCTGTGATAATAAAATTTGTGCCTGTGAGTGGTAATGTGCCTTCCAATGGTATAGAGAAATTAAGGATTTAAGGAACACTGACTACAAGGTGATCCCATGAGTTACTGAGTATGGTTGACTTTCACGGCACTACATAATTCTGTCCTTCCATGAAAGTATTGTTTCATCATAGAAATTTTTTTCCCCCCCTCTTATATAAAAATTCCAGTGTGGATCTATTCTTCACCAATTTTTATCTTCTGATTCTTGTGTCAACATTATCAGTTAGCTTTTACACTGCTTATGTTTGGTTAAATTAAACTTGTTTCTGTCTTTCATGCTGTGAAAAAAATCTTCCAATTCTTGATCATTTTAGTACAAATTCTCTCTGCCTGTTCCCATTTAAATCTTGCCTGAGCAAAGATTCCAGGTGAACAATCACTGCCACTGTCCTTAATATCTCTTCAAGTATTTCTATTGGAAATTCATCATGTCACCACGTGCTTTTTTGAGCACTGATGACTTAGGGATGGCAATGGTAGCATGTATTTGGAAGACTTGGAGAAGGACCAAGCTTGGGAATAAGCTGCAGGTACAGGCTCAGATTCTGCCATCACTGCAGCAGACCAAGACAAACAAGATTGTATCTCCCATACCTCATTTTAGAGTGGTGATAATATCCACCACTGTCTACCTGGTACCAGAGCATTACAACTCTATAGAAATATAATACCATACATATTAACTGGATACTTTTCAGCTTGCTCAAGTAGTGCCTCTGCTGTAATTCCCTCAGTAATGTCCAAGGTCAGCTAAGTGCTTTGATACCGGTATATCACTACATAACCCATAGCACATCATGTATTAGGAGAATTTCTTTGCCCAACTGAATTTTCCAAAACCAAACTTCTCTCATTCCAGAAGAGTGCTTACTTGAATTATGCCTTAAATTGGTGGGATTATTTTCATCATAAATCCTGTGTACTAAGGAGAAAATTTCTAACAGCACTTCTACAACTACTGCTACTTAATACCCTTCTACCATCCAAGTGTAGTACATTGAAAAATAAAAATTAATTTCTTCCTGATTTTCTGCAGGGTGTTTTTTTGTTGTTATTTTTGGGGTTGTTTCTGAGAAAGCATTTGACCTGAAACACAAAGGACTACTGTCATCAGTCAAGTGCCCAGTGATTGCACAATGGAATAATCTGAAACTTTTTTCATATGGTCAGGATCTTATACATGATATCCATCCCAAATGTATCAAATCTTCCCTGGTTATTTGTGTTCAGCACAGTGTGTTTTGACCCAGCAGGGAATCATCTATGGCTGGACAAAGCCAATCCTGATGGGGACGCTGAGATGGCATCAAACCCCTGCAGTGTTGGCTCAGCAGGAGCTGGGCAAGTGCTAAACCCCTGGCAGAGAGCAGAGCCCTGCTCCTGTGTGCATCCTTGGTGAGCTGGGTTTGGTGCCCTGCCAGCCTGAATCCCACTACAGACAATGTGTTTGTGATGTGGGGGAGGTAAGCAGTGCTACAGGGGAAGACAAGCTGACACCACACTCACTGGCTGTATGCTCACATCTAGCAATCAATTTTCCCTCTCTCTGAGAACATGAAATGACACCCTGTGAAACACAACATCCACAGTATCATTGCACAGCACCCTAAACAGGGAACAGGTCATCCAGTCCTTGGCCTAGGAGCTCGGTGAGCCTGGATGCCAATTCCAACTGTCTTGACACACAGAGCTCCAGAAAACACAGAATTTGAGAAAGGACTCAAAGTGAAAGACATTCTATCTCATACATGTGGTGCAGTTCAGCACCTAACACAAAGGAAAATGCAATAACAAGTTCCTTTCTCCTGTTCCTTGTTCACCAGACAGTTTGCAGGATCATTTCATCTCTCAGAATCTATCAAACCTTCTTCTCTAAGCAGGAATTTATTCTGCTCTCCTAAAGTTTATTGGAGAAAGCTGTTGTAATTCTGCATTTCAAATAATAATCCAACTAGATACTCTTAATTTTATGAGGTTTCTACACATTTAATAAGTGATTTGATGAGAAATAAAGCAAACACTAAAAAGCTTTTAGAATGAATCACCTTAGAGCTGAAAAAAGAAAAAAGACACCTGACTTAAAAAAGGAACAATATTTTCATTACTGACCTATACAAGTGGGCTCTGAAATGACATAATTTCTAGGAATTTATAGGTAGCCCTTCTGCATGCCTAGATCACTGATTCATTCTGGTACTGTTTAATGCTCCTGCTTCTTGTAATGTGTGGACTGTGCAGATGCAACCTACAGCCTTGTTGACATTTAGCTGACTCCTCTCAGATTTTGATGGGTTTCCTTGCACTCTCCCATCTATGGATTAGTTCTCACAGTTTTTTTTTATCTAGCTGAGAAAGGAAAGAAGGAAAAATGACAGACTGTGACTCTTCAGAAGAAATCCCTAACTCAGACCTGCAGCACTTGAACAGCTCTTCTGATATGGCTCCCTACAGGAATGGGAAACTTCAGCTGGAAAAGCTTCTTTTTTTCTAGCTGATCTTTGTGTTTCATTGTCCCAGGTACACAGCATTATTCAGCTACACAAAGGAGGTACAAATGGTACCATTTGCATATCTGCAGTTACGTTATGGTAGTGAAAAACCATGAGGGTAGCATTACTCAGTACCAGCCACTGTCATCATTTATCTTGTTGAGAAGCTGCTCACTGTGAGCTTAGTCCTGCACTTCTCTCACTCCCCAAACTCCTCCTGACTCAGATTCAGTAACCATTTTTTTGTTTTGTTTTGCCACTTGCCAGGGGGCAAAGCTTAAAACTGTATCCTCTGGTAAGAAATGGCAGAAAGAGACTGCTCTAGTCATGTTTCCCTCCATCCCAGCACAGGTGCTGTACGGAGGTTACTGTTTCCTGACTGGAGACACTCTCAGCCTTCCCA